CAAGGCCTGGGGCGGCGGGGTGGCTGGTGAGGCACCGCGTGAGATGGCCGCCTCCGTCCGCCGGCTGGAAGGAGGCAGAACGGTTCTGCCTAGAGGCCAACGGTTCTTTTATCCTGGTGCAATACAAATGGCATGAAAAAAGAGCAGTCTTCGGCATCAAAGAAGATGCAAAATCATAGTGGTGTGCAAAAAACCAAGAGAGAATTAAGTTAGTAGTAACGAAGCAAACTGTTAAAAAGCTGCGGACAGAAAGTTTTCCAGAGTGTTGCGGTGAAGCTTGCCACAGTCTGTGCTGAGGCATCACCAAAAAAGAACTCTTAATTTCATCTAGAAGACTATTGCTACGATGAAATAACCCAGTTGCCCATGCAGTACACCCTAAAGAACCTCGCTATTCTCTGTAATTAACCTATTGCTGAGTTGTTTGAGCTACGCCATACTCAAGCTGGGCATGTCAAGATGTCATAAATTATACTATAGATAGCAACTCTATTTCTAGGAAGCTGATTTCCTGCTTAATTTATTAAGTGGAAGCATCTTTAGCTGTAACTGTGTCAAAGAGACAGAGCGTCTCATCTGACATTTTTATACTGGCTTAATTAAAGCGCCCCAAGTACAAAGCTCTTGATTTTCCAGTAGGCGAGGTTTTGGGGTTTTAAGCAGCAGAACAGGGAGTAATAAGTGGGAATAATTTTCTCTTCCAAATTTTGCAAAGTACAGCTGTGATATTAAAGCGAGGTACAGTTAACAGTAAAACACAAGGCTAACTATGCTTTTCCCACCTCGAATTACTGCATACACTGTTGTTGCAGACTATATCGTAGTTACTCCGAGAGACCTCAAACGGCGAGTACAATAAATACGCGTATACCTGTTCAAAACACAGAGAGGTTGGGGCACTTCCTCAGACATTTGAGCATACCAGTTCATTAGGCTCAGACATATTTAGATCAACACTGTTCTTTGATTTCTTTTTGGTGAGTTTTGTCCCAGGCTTCGGATACTTTTCCTTGCTGTGAATGACCTGGATATACTGGTCATTGCTGCTGTTCTGCGGATCACTGCTGGATTCAATGGAAATGGAATCAGATTCTGTTAGAGATTGCTCCAGCTTTTGCTTTGATTTTGGTTTCACACGTGGCTCAGGGTAGTTCAGGTGCACTTTCTTGTAAGCATATGGAGGCCTGTCCAGGTCTAGCTCAAAACCGTCGTCCCAGGATTTGTAATGCACTCTGGCTAGATCCTTGCTCATAAGAATGTGGCCATCGGCACGTTCCCCAATGTAAAATCGTGGTGCTGGGCGAAGATCAGACAGTGAGCGAGGGCGATGGGATCTGTTCATGAATTCTCTCCCAAATTCCTCTTCATCCTCCTCATCTTCACTGGGATGAGGGGAATACATCTGGTGTGGTGTTCGAACCACATATCTTCTGACGTTGCGTGGATACAACTCGATAATGTCTCCCGATTCATCCTTTCTGAAGTGCCTTTGGAGTCGGGAGGTAGAACGGAGCGATTTTTTGCGGGGCTCGTTTTCATTAACAAGAAAATACCTGGTAGTGTAAGGTCTACGTCCCACAAAAACAGGAGCCCCTGCCCCAAGAGCATCTGGATTTACCTGCCGAATGCCTTTTCTGAAGAGGGGCTCAGAGTGAACATCTTCAGTGTGCTTTTTGAAAGTCACTGGTGTGTAGGGCTTTGTTTTACAGAGCTCACTTGCACTCCCATGCACAACGCTTGGGTACCTTTAGGAAGGAAAAAAAAAAGGAAGGAGATACTGAGATACATGCTTATCTATTAATGTAATTAAAACATATAAAGATGTATTGCTCTGGAAGTCAAACACTAGATTGTAAGTGTGGACCTTACAGAATCGCAATTGTTCTGAATTTTTAGGACCAGTTTGAGAAACACACCCCAGAAATTAAGAGACATATTTGTTCTTCCCTATCCCCAGATAATTAACCTCTCAAGTTACGTTCCCATTCTGTTTTCTTATTATTCTGAGAACTGTTTAAAAATGCTCTTTATCTGATCACTTGGAAAAAAACCCAACAGGTAGCTTAAAGCACCAGTCTGCTGATGTCCCAAACTGGTCGTCCTACAACTAGACTGGCACAGAGTTCTGCACTGTTGCTGTGCGTCTTGTTCATGGAAACGATGTCCTGCACAAACTGTATGTCTGAGGGGAAGCCTACTATTTACCTTTGCTTGAGGTCTGTGTAAATGCCATCAACTACATAATTTCAAAAGTTTTATAATCCCATCTCAATTAAGGGAGAGTTAAGGAGGTGGTGTCACCAGTAATCTGAGTAGCACCCATGAACAAATCTGCTTTTAAAAAACTCCTCAGCTTTTTTACTGCTCCAGACAGTCTGAATACACAGCTGTTCTGTAAATAACCACAGGTATGTCATGGAGCTGCTGGAAGAAATGCCATTTCAAAACCAAAGCGGTCTTGCCTGTTTGTGATATGATCGGTTCTTGGTTTCTGTACACTTGATACTGAGGGAGCTGGCGTTAAGGAAGTTGAAGTTGTGGGAGTTGCGTCAACAGGTCTTGCAGCATCAGTTGAGGGCACAGTTTGGGGCACAGACTGGGAAATGGTTTGTATTCTGGTGCCTTTGCTCACAGGAGATTCAAAGTTCAAAACACTGCCATTCTTTCGGGGAGTTGAGGACCGAACAGAAGACTCCTGGCTGATAATATCACTTTCTTGCTCCGGTCTCTTGTCATTCCCATCCAGATTTTGGATTCTGGCTAGAAAACAGAAATTATTACAGGAACTGTCCAGGTCTCTAAATTCAGAAGCTGCTGTGTAAATGCAGTGGCTCAAATTCACCCTTCAGTCAGGGCATCCAATGCTAACAGACCCCCCGGTGTTCAGAAAAGAGAAACTGGTGTCACACTGGGAGACATGGTGATAAAGGGGTGGGTCAGCATACTATGGTACATGGCAGATGTTGTATTGGGGAACACAGAAAAAACCACTGGACACAGCACTGTAGGATTCCAAAATGGGCAACGAGCCAATGTCTCTTTTCAAGATCCCCATGTTAGTTGACAACATACACCACTTCCAATATGGTGGCCAAATTCAGCTGACTGGCTCCAGTGGCTGTGCAGGTCACAGCCAAAAGCTGAATTTGGTTTCTGTAACAAAGGAAATCCAACCAGGACACATACCTCGTTGCCCTAATAGCCACTCCTGATGGCTATATTGCTGTGCATCAGGTATTTTGCCATTTATGTGTCCACTGGAAAGCTACAAGGGGGTCACAGTAGCATTAAGATCTAGCCACAAGGCTACTGAATCATGTCTTCTCTTTGGCTTGAAAATTTTTACTCTTTCCTTTCACTGGGAGGTATTAGAAGGACAACATCTTTTCTGTGGTTTCTCATTGCTAAAATCTGAGAAGTGGAAGGTGCAGGTTCAAATTCCCTCAGGCACAGCAGACAACTGAATCTGAAATCTTTTAATTGCTGATGAAATATTCAACCATCTCATGTCAAAGAATAGGGGCCATTCCCTTCCTCCTCTTCTGCCTAGTAGCCTCTAAATTTTATGCAAGGTCTGACATGATTTGAGTCATCAGAGATGATCAGAGTTTCTGCCCTGTTGGTGGTAAAAGTAAGAAAGTACCCAGTCCAAAGATCCCAGCGGAATTCAGGTATAAACTACACCTTGTCCTTCAATGCTGCCAACATTAAGTCAAGCTGAGCTCAAGAACTATCTAAAAGGAGGACTCTACAGGAAATACAGTTTAAGTGTAGTTGAACTTCCCTATGTGTATGAGAAATCAAAATGGTTTTGCATCCAAATGCTTTATTAATAGTAGCATTTCCAAAGCTCACTGACTTACCTACTGCCATCTGAACCACCTTTTTCTTATCTTCAGTTCTTTCCTAAAATACATTCAAAAGAATGAGAAGCAGTGAATTATTATGGATTAGAGAGTAAAATCACTGCTGTGTAAGGATGAAAAATTCAGGATTAGTTTTACATTGTAAAACACTGAAAGTGACTTCAGAGATTTAGTTAGGCTAGTACTGTACCAAAGACCCACCAAATTGCATGCAATGGTGCTTTGCTCTGTACTTACTGTTTGGATCTTCATTCTCAATTGATTGTTGGTGAATTTTAACGATCTTGCAATACTTTGTAGGTAATAGATCAGCATGCTAGAAGTGAAAGAGGTGATTATGAGTCACTTCAAACATTCCTGACATTTTTCTCTTTGAGAGTTTATAGGTCATCAAAATGATGTACAGGTTCAGTTGCTGCTTTGTAGCATTTCCTTCATACCGTGATAATGGATCACAGCCTTCTTTCAAGCAAACATACATGAAAAAGAAATGACACTGAAGACAGCAGTTGTAACTGTGCCCGTGTTTTTTGCAGGTCTTCTCATTGTGTGTGTAACCCTAGTGCATTTCTAGCTTTTTTTGGTTTAAATTCTGGACACGCTCAAAATGAAAATGTCGATAAATATTTTCTCATCTTTTTTTTCCCCAGTCCAAGGGTACGGAACAGAGACACCAGAATTACAGCCGAGTTTGCACACTCATACCAATGTAATTTTGTTGACTGAGGGGACTAACACCTTGTTTACACTGGCACAGCCGAGATCAGATCTGGCCTGACATAATGGATTACACTGGCTTTCAGATAAAGTAAAACCCTTACAGCTAGACTTCATATGACAAACATTTACACATGTGCTTAGCTGTCAGTTTGAAGCAGTCAATAGATCTACCTAAATATGTAGATATGTTCATATTTACGTGGCTGGGACCTTAGAGGAAAAAGTTACAAATAGGAAACATTGCTTCGGTCTTTCTGATTTCTCTGAAAAGCCCACGGGCGGGACAAACTCTGCATTCGCCTGTAGTTTACAGGGAAAAAATGATACAAAGGTACATGCAAGACATGATACTTCATAGAAGCAAAGTGAATTTCAAACAGCTTAAAATACATATTAATTCCCAGCTGTGAACAATTATTCAGAAACTAGAGTAAGAAAGGACTTTGACTGGAAAGTCTGCAGCAAGTTATATTACCTTAACACTTAAGAGCAGACCTTCATAATAGATTTATTTTGTCAGAAATCAGGATGACGGATTAGCTTCTTTAAATGATAGACTGAGCCCTGTTCACAGTCATAAACTGAACTAATGGCCATGAGGAAATGGAAAATTAATTTCCGAGGAGCTCTTGAGAGGGAAGAAGAATCTTGAAACTCACTGGAACTGCAAGCCTTGACACCATGCAGCGAACTTGCTATAACACAGTATCCCAGCACAAGAAATTCCTTTTGAAAATGCGATGACAGTCTTAACATACGCTCATTCCTGTCTGATCTATATCATATATATTCAATAAGGTGGGGTTTTTCTCAGATATGCTCAATAATAATTCAAGAATGCAGTGTTTGTTC